TTTTTTTTTGGATAAACCGTAGGAGTTCTGAACCTTTGGCTCATAATCTCTTCGGAATCTGGAGATAGTCTTTGAATTGATATATATGAACAACAATATATGTCTAAAACTAAGAATCTGTATCGTAACAACAAAATCTAATAAAGAAATAATAGGTTTGTACTATATGATTGGCGATTTAGCATAATAAGAAGATCTACCTTTTGCACAAAAAAAAAAGAAGAAGATCTACCTGATTAGTTATACAATGCTTAAAAAAATTTAAAATTTTGTAAATACCTTTAAAAGATACGCAAAGATTTATAATTTCATAACTTTTAAAATCATCAAAGTAGTTATTAGAACTTGATATATGAAGCAAACATCAGCAGAAGAGTAGTTATTAAAAAAGCTAAAAAGTTGGGAAAACGCCAAATTTTCAAAAACGTTAATTTTTTTTGAACAAATGGAGTATCAAATAAAAATTTTGATTTCATTAATAAAGCTCTGATTGGTGATCTGTGAAATCACAAAGCAATTTCCTCATATATATTTTTTATTAATTATAAAGTTTATGAAATACTCTACTAATATATTAAATTTGTAAAACGTAGGTGGTCTGCGTATTATATAAAAAGAAACAACTAACAAAAAAGTATTCGATACGTACACGCATGCTGCATGCATTTCGTATTTAATCATGAAACTTAGTATTAGTAAACCATGTCATTGATGACCATTCGATACCGAAATGGCTATAACTACATTTATCCTTAGTAGTATTCAGACCAACAATCTAAAGATAAACGTATATGTCTGAATCAAAATTTGAGGGACAATTTTACCAAAAAAAAAAAATTGACGGACAAGATAAAATGTTGTTTACCAGATTGAAAGCGCATCAAGAGCAACCTCTGCGTCTTTTAAGCCTCCAGTGAGCAGAACCAAGATCGTGTTGTACCATAGCTCCAAGCTGTTCAAAATTAATATCAAAATATTGTTACAAGTATTTATAAATATTATAAATACAGTATGTATATTTTATATAGACATTAATATTCCAAACAAAATTTTATTTGGTACGGTGAATAAATGTATAGTTAGTCTTTATTACTAATTTACAGTAACGCAATCAAGTATATGTATTATGAACCTACATAACAAGTTGATCAAAAAAAAAAAACCTAAATAACTAAAATAAGTCTTTATTTTAACCAACAAGATGAAACCAATAGATTACGACCAAAATGATTCTACACAACTATTGTATAACTAAAAAAATAATCCATATATAAATATTTGGTTAACGACACATTTTAATACTAATAAGTTTTGGTGATTACTGCGCACCAAGCTAGAGGATGCAAAGTTTAATTTGCTTTTAAAAAACACCCCAAACAAAAAAACCAATTGGAAATACATTTTTAGAAATTATTAAACTAACAAATTTCTACCACGTGGTAGAGCATTTTTAAAAATAAATATTTTATCTTTTATCAAAACAGTTATCTTCCTCAGAACAATTATCTTTTATCAAAAAAAAGAAGAAGCAATTATCTCTAGTCTACCACGCGGTAGAGCATTTTTAAAAATAAATATTTTACGAGACAAAACTAACAAATTTTAAGAAAATTAAGAAATCATACCATATCATACCACCAGAAGACACGGACAGTTTCAAGACAGGCCAAAGATCCTTGAAAGCCAACCAAGAGAACCCCTTCCACGTGTCCTTACACCCACCGCACGTGACGAACAAGAGCTGCGCAATGTTAGGCAACCAAGACGCCACGAGCATCGAGGTCATAGCACCAGTGATCCCCAAGTCAAAATAAACCATGAGAAGCCACGACAAGAAGAAGTGGACCCCTAAAGAGACAGCAGCCACGTAGGTAATGATCTTGTTCTTGCTCTGAGCTTGGAGGAACATTTGGCAAGTGAAGGAAGGTACGAAGGAGAAGTTAACGCCTTATGACCCATAGGGCTATGGTGCGAGCAACACGAACAATGCGTTCCTCTTGACCTAAGGCTAAGAGGATAGGACCCGAGAAGATGTAGACGGGCGTGATGCAAATGCCACAACCTATAAGAACGATCCATGACCTTTGGAGGTAAATCCCGAGCATATGGTACTGTTTGGCTCCATAGGCTTGACCACATAATGTTTCTAGTGCACTAGCCATGCCTAACTGCATATAGATAATGTCGTTGATTACAATTTGTTCTTAACAGTAACTCGATAAATATATTATATAAAATAATAGTTATAATTAACCAAATTTGAGACATATATAAACTACAAGAATTGGTCAACACAACTACAATTTTTTTGTACCTATGATACAAAATAATTTGTAGCAAATTTTTTTCGTTACAACTTTGTTACAATTTTTTTTTCTTTTTTGAAAAAAACTTTGTTACAAAATTTCAGTTATGAATATTGGCTCGTCACTAATCAACGATAT